TGCAGCTGCAATCATTGAGATTAAAAGCGGTCTTTAAATTTAAGAAAAAATGTATCGCATTATGTTAGGGCCTTAAATAGCTTTTACAAACCAATATATCCTGCTTATGTAGGGCATAAGAGGCCACCCCACGGCCGACTGGCCGGTTGTCTGGCCAACCAGCCAAAGGTTGTTGTAGTTGCTGGGCCGGGCGACGAGTGCTGGCTGGCAGCTGAGGTCGATCGTTCTTAGCCGTTTGCTCTCTGCTGCGAGACATGAGGAATTACAATGAGTAGGTAGTTGGGTGCGCAATTGCCGCAGAGGCCGTAGCTATAACAACAACAGCAACAACAACAGCAACAACAACAAGAGCAGCAGCAGTGGCAGTGGCAGCAATAGCGGCAGCTTGGCAGCAGGTCGGCCCACGTTCCTGTGACCATTGCGGCGGCTGCTCCCGGGCATAGGTAGCGCAAAAAGCTGTTTAATTTAGAATTCAAATTGTTGTCTGCGTCTGCGTCTCTGGCCTCAACAGCAGGTTTGCTGTTGTTCTTGTTGTTGTTGTTGTTGTTGTGGCTGCTGCTGCTGCTTTTAAAGTGCTTGTTGTTGTTGCTGTTGCTGTTTCTGTTGCTTTTGGCTCTCGCTTTAAGGTTAAGCAGGTCAAAATCCGTACAACTAAATTGAGCGCAGAAATACAATTGAACGTCTTTTGCTTTTTTGCCTTTGCCTTTGCGCGTTTCAACTCTTCAGTTTGAAATTCATTTTGGTCGCTTTGTTGTTGTTGTTGCTGTTATTGCTGTTGTTGTTGTTATTGTTTGTGTTGCCTTTTAAAGGCGCACACACAGAGCGCTCCAAATTAAAATGTATTTCAGCAGCAACAGCAACAGCAACCAAGATGAATCCAAGTGTGCTGCACTGAGTGCTGTCTTGATTGGAGCTCTTGTTGTTGTGGTTGCCCATCGGTGGTGACCAGAAGCTGCCAGAAGCACTTTTGTAGCTGCTTATTAGTGTGTGTTTTGGAAGCTTCTTACCGGCAACTTGATGCCATTTAATTTTATTTCATTTAACTGCCACTCAGAAGCAGCGAAGGCAGCGGCGACTCTGCGACTCTGAGAGAGAGAGGGCGGGAGGGAGGATAGTAGAGGGTAGTCTGGGAATTGGCCAAATACCATGCAGCATAACTTAAAAATTTGATGTCCGCTATAAATGACTTTGTTTGTCATCAATTTAACGCGCTTTATTTACATTCACTATCCACTATTGCCATTGTTTTGTATTTCAAGTTCAACATCTTTAGCATAAAGCCCATAATACTTTATATGGCCTTTTTACGATCGATTGGCAAAGTTTTTGGGCCTAAACGTGTATATTGAAGTGTCTTCCGAGTCATTGAAAAATAAAGCCATGTCTATGTAAATGATGCGTAACCAAAATAACTTTATTTTGACTAAAAAAAATTATTTTATGACTGGCATTTTAAGGAGAAAAGAAAAAAACATCCAACATACAACAACCAGAAGTGATCGTACGACGACAGTCTCAGACTCCATTCCCATTTGATGTATGAGTTGGCATGCAAATTTTATTAGTCTCTATGACTATGGTCTCTTCCCGACCCGTCATTATAAGGTCACCATTAAAGGTGGAGCTTCATTCTGAATAGACAAACACACACGCACACACACACACAAATGAAATAGAGAATAGAACAAAAGAAATCTACATAGACAAGACCTATAAAAATTATTTCGATATAAAAAGCCCAAAACTTGTAGACGCTTGTAATTTGCTAAGCGGGCGTTCCCTAAAATGGCATCTACAATGACGGCCATCAATATATAAACAATGTAGTAATCTTTTTATTCGAAGCATGGCATTATTTATGTAAAAAACATGTAATAGTTTATAAAGAACGAAGAAATTATTAACATCATTAATTACATGAAATATGAAAACTTAATTATTGATTATTCAATTATTTATTTAAATAATAAATACAAGTATTTATTTATAAACTTTTAATAAGCCAGCGGATCCGGCGCTCTTGTCAACTCTCTAGCTGCATATATTTCTCAACAACTCTAGGGTTTTTGGACTCTTATAGCTAGGATTAGGTGCAAAGAAGATCTTTGCCTTTAATTTAGCCGTCAAATATAGCTTATACAAATAGTTCATTTAATCGAGTCCTGAAACTAAAAAACTTTGCAAGAAAAAAGCAGAGGAAGACCATCTTTTTAATTTAAATTTTTTTTTTACTTTTTTTGTTGTATATTTCTCACAAGTCTGATATAATTATTCGATCTAAAATCGCGCGCTAAGATCCAAAACTTTTTGTTAGCTGCTTTAATTCCTCTGTCCACCACTGTTAGCCTGTTGGGTAGAAGTTCTCTGCTTGGCAAAATCGCCCATTGGTTTTCGACAAAATATTTTGGCATATGTCTACGAATGTGAATTTTATGGAAAGTAAATCCATTCTACGAGTATGGTATGATTACTAATGGAATATAAGCTGTGACAAATAAGTTCGTCGGGCCACAGATCGCAGACACTAAGACTCATTTAAAGCTCATGTTTCATCAGAAAAGAAAGCATCAATATAAAATATGTACATATTCTCAGAGCATACAATGCTAGGCTAAATCCGCGTTATTGATATGTTTATTTCAAGCCCTGTTTAATTGGTTTTTAATTTTTCACTTAGTGATGAAAGAGTCCAACATTTTCAGGCAAACAAGTTTTGTAAGATGAGTAGCTTTTGTGCCGCACAGATGACTTCTATCCAACGGCATTTGAAGATTAAATAGTGCCTTGGTTTTTTATTATAGGGCACGAGAATTCCTCTTTTTCGCAATCTTAGAGCGAGATTATTGAAGCTATAAGCCGGAGTAGAAAAGATGAAACCTGAAACATGAAGTAAACTGTGATGTGGAAAATATTTCTAAGTTTTAGAAAACATGTTCTGCAAGGCACAAATTCTTCCAACTCGAATGTTATTTTCGTTTAAGTCACATGCTAATAATCCGTTTGACTCATTCCAAATTATTTATTTTTTGTATGATTCATCAAGAATTTTCACTTAAGTATAAATTTGTTTATAAGTTTACAATAATGAGATGTAGAATTGAATGAGATGATGAGTTGAAATAATGAGATGACATGATAAACATTTGGCTTGGAATTTATACCAAGTATACAACAAGTTTTTAGTTTTAGGGCCAATTTCCTAATCTACAAAATTAATTGTTTCTAAATCTAGAATTAAAACCACATCATATTTTTAATAAGCAATTGGAAATCAATTAGAAGATGCTAAGACTGAGTTTAGTGTCGTTTCTTTCTTCCGTGTCAACCAAAATCTAATGGTCACCTTATAGATCATTCTATTTAGGAGTTACACAATTGCCTTGTCTGTAATGCTGATCAAGTATTGGTCTGCACAATATTTGGGTTACTTATGTATTGAGAACGTTAACAAGTTGCCGCCGATGTTGCCGTTGCTCGAACCTTTTGTTTGATGCACAGAAATGATTTGCATATTTCCATATTTTTTGTAAATTGCCAAGCGATGCTCAAAGTAAAGAGAGACCGTTTGGTCAGCAGTCCAATTACATTGCGTGTCCCGCCAGCCTCTATGGCTGGCACACACATGCCAAGTTCAAAGTCAAGACCGAATACCGAACTCCGAATACTAACTAAGAGCGGTGCGGTGCACATTCGAATCTGTTTTGGGGCACTCATTGTTATGGAAACTTTGCATAGCTCACTTCTTTTTTCAATTTTTTTTTATCTTGTTACTGCTGCAGTTGTTGTTGTTGTTGTCGTTGCTGTTGTTGTTGTTGTCGTTGCTGTTGTTGTTGTTGTTGGTTTTCCAAGTTACACCAACATCAAAGTTGGCTTCAGTTTCTATTGTTGGCTGGTACGGCTGGCTTGTCAATTATTGGCACAGAATTTGGAACGCGAGGTGCATTTGGTAACCACAAAGGCAGGCACCAAATCAAAGCTTGTTGCAGATATTGTTGCTGCTGTTGTTGTTGTTGTTGCTGTTGTTGTCTTTGTTGTTACGCGAATTATGACAGACGTACAAAAGCCACCAATTTCCGGTATGCGCTTAGTTCTCTTTTATTGGCATCGCATTTTGTGGGAAAGGCGGGAGATTAACCATTAGGGAAATTCACAGATATTGGAAACTACTTACAAGGAATGAATATGGAAGTATTAGATTATTACATGATGAATATTTTGGAAAGTTTAAGAGTTTGTTTTAATTCGTAAAGCAAAACAAATTGGTTAGTACTTGAAGAATCTACATATTAACAGCATTTTCTTTTGTAAGCATTTAATGAAAAGCTTTGATATTTGATTACAAAACCCAAACATTGCAAGCAAAAATTGCAAGCTATCTAAGAACAAAATCGGTAACTCGATTGCTTTAAAAAGTAGGGTACTTAGTGGGGTAATTAAGACTAGAAAACTCTTCCGTGAAGAATACTTTAAGCATCAACTGATGGAATAGTTCTAGCTTTTACAAATTGACAAATATTGCCTTTATTGTAAGCTTCGTACAATTTCCTCTTTCCTCTTTAATATATAAGCTATATAGCATTTTAATTTCTATTTTAAAACTGCCTTTGTTATAGAAATAAGCAAATAGAAATATTAAACACTAGTACATTCAATATTTCTTCAATTTATTGATATGCCGATAACGTCTTTTGGCAATAAAAGCTCTTAGCTTACATACGATTTTATCGACAGCAATAAAAAGAAAATCAGCACCTCTTTAAAGTGGAATAATTCTTATTGGGAGTATATTCTAAAAAGAAGCACTACTATGGCTACAGTATTGTAAACCATAAACAGACCAGAGATTGAATTGAAAAGGACCTGCTCAACACTATTATTTCTCGTCATCGTTTACGACTGTTGTTTTTCTATGACAACAGACTTAGTTTAATCAATATCTAAACTACTTGTTTAACGAAAATTGTTCTGCTCCATCATCTGAAATATAATTATCTGGAAAAATGAGTAAACTAGAAGATCTATTGGCTAAGAAAAAGACCGTAGTGCCCGTATTAGATCTCAGTCGCAGCAACATACAGTCGAGTGAGGAGTTCAAGCGGTTAATGGACAAGGTGCCCGACTATAAGATGCGACCCATTAAAGTGCGTGCGGAGGAGATTAAAATCAAGGACAAGGACTACACATTTAAGATGCCCAAAAAGGAAATGCGGAAGCTGCTCAAGGCCAATGGCGAACGAGAGGCCATGTATGTGTATGCGGATCCCGTGCCCGGAGAAATGAAGGATGTTGTGCTGCTAGAGTTGTGCGCAGTACCCATCGATTGGAAGATGTTGACCACTTTGAGGCCCAAGTCAAAAATGGAGGAGGAGTATTTCAGTCGCATGGTGGAAATGGGAAAACTGCAGCTGAAAACAGAGGCACGTGATAGGCTGCTGGCGAACAGCTTTGTGAAGAAGATCAAAAACAAATCGGGCATTGTGGAGACACGCCTCCTGACCTGCGCAGAGTGTGGCGAGGAAATGTGTGATGGTATATATTGTATATTGAAACGCCGAGCCTACAAATAAGTTAACATTATTGGTATTCTCTCGATGCAGGAAAATCATGCACGGATTTCAATTACGATTTATTTGTGCGTGTCGAGGCGAAGGTTGCCAAACCAAAACCTGCGCCTGTTGCCACAAACAAGACGAAGCTAAATGGTGCTGGACGCAAAAAATCGGCCATCAATAGTGTAAAGATCAAGACCAAGAAAGCAGCCAAACAAAATTAAGTTTCCATGTGCTGTAAAGACTTCAAAGTGATGGTCGAATTGTTTTAGGGTTTATAAAGCTATTGTCAATAATATACCAGATTTTCTATAACCAAAGCAGAGCAACAAAAATCTCGCGTCTCTTATAAGACGAGCTAAAAAAAAGAGACTATACTTTTAAATTTTAGAATGCTGTCTCACATTTTTTGTTTTGATATCTTTTTAATTAGTTAGGCGCGCCTGCCAGCAACATTTATTGTAAAACTTGATTCCATTGACTCTGAAAAATCGTTCACTTTCTTGCAAACTATACAAATCTGATCTGAATGTCTGGCTAATCGGGCTCATAAAAAACAACGTTACAGAATTGATAAACCACCAGTGTGTGGCACGTTTTAACAACTAGACTTAAAAGCTTCTTCTCAGCGCATATATGAATATTAAAATGAATGCAAAAATAGAAGAAACTTCGCAGCCATCCTATCACTCACTAAAAATTCAGAAATGTTGTAACTAAATATAGTTCCCCCGTGATAAGCATGCCATTGACCCACGTGCTAGTTAGCTGAATTCTTACATATTTATTAGAAACAATACATAATACATGACTTTGTTTTAAAATTAATGAGTAGTTGCATTGCTTGAATGACATGTTATATACTATCTTATATTTATAATTACATTCTTAATGATATGTACTACGTTTTTTCCTTCATTGCTTGCGCCTTGCGCTGCTCTTCGATGGTTTTATAAATTTCTGCGCGGCGTTTTATTTCCTGCTGCACTCGCAGCTTGTTCAGTTCAAAGTCCTTTATCCTTTGACTTGCTGCCTCTTTGCTATCCAAATGTTGGACGGTCCCATTCGGTGGGGTTACGACTTGCCAGGGACGTCGCGTGGTCATTGCATAATCATAGTAGGCTGTGTTGTTTACCGGAAACGGACTGGGCTTTATAAAGATGGCCATATAGCCGGGACGCTTGATGTCACGATCGACGGGAAAAACGCTAGAAATATTGAGCAATAATTGATATATGTATTGCAATTGAATTTATATAAGTTTTGTATTCAACTTAAGCTATTCTTTCAATCTTTAGAAATCTTTTGATAATGGCTTACAAGTTTTTAAAAAGTCAAATGTACTTAGTAAACAAAAATATTATTACACGGACTCAGAAAAACCACAAAAGTAGTTTTATTCAAAGCTAACTATAGACTAGCTCTTCTCATTTTGTTCACTTGTTTGTATTTCATATCAAGCTTTACTTTAATCTTTCGATCATTATATTTCATAATTTAAACAAATTTTGGACTACAACTAAAAAAGAATGAAGCAATCGTCCATGACGTAAACAAACCTTAGAAAAGCTTAAAAATTGATCATAAACAAAATTATTTCTTTCACAAATCGGAAACAGAAACAACTATAAGTTGGACAAACTTTGGTTTGAAAACATTAATATATATCTGCGAAATTATGCAAGCTAGGATTCTTAAAGACAATTACAAACTGCTTCGCAATTCATAAGAACTTGTAAACACATTATCCTGCAAATCGACTTACAGGTATTTATAAAAGGCAATGAAAAAATAAGTTCAATGGGAAAGTAAAATAGTTTGAATTTTGTTTCTGAAAATGCCATTTTCAATACTTTTCCAAACAATTTCAGAAACTATACAAATCTTTAAATATGTAGCCAAAGAAAAACAGACAATTAAATTTTTTAAAGGTACTTTAAAAAATGTTAACTTAAATAGTATCTACCTCTCTAAAGCAAAATTTGTTTAAAAACAAAAATGATTTATTCTCAACCAAACTCACCAAAAGGTCTCATAGTTGGCATCCCATAAATTATAGCCCCACCAAGCGCCCAGCAGTTGCAGTGGACAGGATCGATTGCGACCTGTATACGACTCCATAACCGAACCGATGGAAATAAAGAGCAAATCCGTAGTATTGGCCTCAACCAAATGGGCTTTTCGCAACATGAACAGATCATTGAAGCCCGAGATGACGACATCATCGTATAAGTTATATACCAATTGATCGTTATTGTTCTGTCCAATGATCAGCATGGCCAGGCGCATGTGATTCATAATGTGGGCCAGCGCCAAGAAGTTCGTATTCATGTCCTTGTAATCCTCGGTTATGTATCCGAAGAACCAATGACGCATATGGATGCGTGCTGGCAGCTCCATGCGGTTCATGAGCAGCCACGGCCCGCCCCAGCCATTATCGAAGTCGCAGAGCACCTTAACGGGCAGGCCACGATCACGTAACAGCGAAATGCCGAACAACTCGTGCAAATCCATTTCCTCACGGCACTTGGCATGCGGATATTGAAAGAAGTTCGACGGATGCGGTGTTATGCTCTTCCATTGAATGGGACCCTCCGATGTCTTCATCAAATCATCATCGTCTGTATCGGCCGGTGTTGTATTTTGATTTTTGTCTGTTGTTGTCAGATCACTTGGCAGGGTGATGGTAATAGGCGGAGTTCGGATCGTCCCTGCGCTGGTAATCTGGCCATTCCTTGTTGTTGTGGTTCGTTTCGTTGGTTTTGTCAGATCACTTGGCAGAGTGATGGTAATAGGCGGAGTCGTCTCAACAATATTGCTGCCTCCATTATTGTCCGTATTTGTCCCTTCGTTGGGCATCGGTTCTGTTGTAATTTCCATGGGCGGTTCGTACGAGGTTGGCTCTGTTGTGGGCGATACGACCGGATATGGCTGAGTGGGGGATTCCTGCTCCAGCTTTGTAGTATTGTTCGGTTTTGTCCCTTCGTTCGTATTCTGGCTATTCACTGTTGTTGTGGTGCGCCTTGTGGGTTTTGTCAGATCACTTGGCAGAGTGATGGTAATAGGTGGAGTCGTTTTAGCAATATTGCTGCCTCCAGTATTGTCCGTGCTGGGCGTCGCTTTTGTTGTTATTTCCTCGTCTGGTTCGTTAGAGACATTCTCTGGTATTGATTGAGTCGTGGATTTCTTCGTCACCCTTTTCGTTGTTTTCGTTTTTGCTGTTTTGGGACGTTTAGTCCTTGATGTGGACTTTGTAATAATCTCCCATTCAGAGTTGTCGGCTGGGGACGGTTTTTCCATTTCGGGTGGCTTTGGTCGCCGTGTGGTTAATATCCACGCCGACTCATCGCTATTTAAGCCCTCTTCTATATCTTCGATTAATGTTGGATCCCCATCGGGCTCCCGTTCGTCTGAATGGTGCACTTCATAGCTATCTGAGTGCGCATGAGATCTGCGCTCTTTATCCCTACTCTCCGCCTCGACAGTGCCACCTTCTAGCTTGGGCAAAACTGTGTCCTCATTATCCTCAAAGATGTCGCCATGACTGCTGCCGGTTCTGTTGTTACGAAGGATTTTCGCGCCAACTAGATGTGCGTCCACTTCCGCACCCTCCATGCCGTCGAGTCTCACGTAGCGATTGTTATTGAATATGAAATTCATGTAGTATGTCTGTGCGAGGACAACAATCAGAGGAAGCGCTGCCAGCAGGCAATGCAATAACATTTTAAAATACTAGACATCCGTATAGCGATCTCTTTGGCCCTCACATGTAAACATCTAAATGAACGGCCCGCGACTGCACGCCACGCACCATGAAGGGGTGCCTTATATAGGCTCGGATTGATAGGCGTAACTCCAGTAAATGGGCGCCAATAATTGTGAGCGTTACTATCGCTAGACTCGACATTTTATGGGAAAGTGTTTTATGTTCAAATTATTGAGGTAGAGGACTTGAAAGAAGCGCTGCTCTCAATACATATATGGAAAATGTTAGAATTGTTTCACAAACAAAATCGTAAGTTTATGTTACTTTTAAAAGTTAATACAAATTACTAAGGGATATTACTTAGCGAAAATGGGTACAGCTCTGATACAGACTCAGAAAAAACTACTGGGCTGCAAAATAATCGACGCTTTCAGAATTATATAAACGAGCTTATTACTCCCCATTTTATATAGTTCAAGCAATAATAGATCTGTATATGGATCTTAGAAGTTAAAGTGAAGTAAACCATCTGTTTATTTCTTAATCCTAAAATCGTGAGAGTAATGCAAAAAAGAGCTCTATGTGGGACAAGAGGGCTCTAAAGAGATGCCCAGAGGGGTCTGGTCTGCATCTTCTGTTTGCTTTGAGTTTGTAGCTGGAAAAGTTCAACTATTAGTCAGCTCTGGTAACCCTGAAAGTTGTCTTCTGTTCCACTGTAAATAACACTTAATGGCTTCAGTACAATATTATTAATTTCTTACAAATCGAAATCAGTTGAAAAAACGAAGATGGAAAAGATAGAAATAAAATACCCTATGAAAGCGCTGAAAACTAAAACTTAAATACACTTTATTTCTTTATTTTCAGTCAATTTATTTAACTGTGGTTATTTAATTGATTTCGATTAATTCATTTAAAAAGTCTTCAAATAAAGTTGTTTGATCGCGCTGCAGAATTCTTATAAAGCATCTCTGAGTAGCTTTTTAAATGACATTTATTACAAATCCAAATAAGCTGTCAAAGAGTGAAAATCTTAAAACAAATACCGAGGGAAAAATGTAACAATTAAAAACACTAGATGGTGCTACGATTGTCAGACAGAATCGTGCTAATAAGTTGTAAGTCTTCGGCTTGTTTTCTTCATCACAAATAGGGTGACCGCATTTTGCGAAGTTTTTTCAATCGCTCAACTGGAAATAGCTTTTCGAAAACAACATCTTGATATTGCTCTTAGCATGAGAGTTATCGGCTATATCAGCACTAAAAAGTAAGACAATGCATGTACAATATGTTAGTTATTTACAATTAATCTGAAAATCCACATTTTATGATCGGCTTACGGTTCTACTTTCCTAAGAGACAAACCTTCCAAAACCGAAGGAATATTAATTTGCTGGGAAATATTTTGTATATCTAAATAAATTGCTTATTAATTAAGGATTCATTGAACGCAGACCTCTCTTATACTTGTACTTAAGCGTATAATCAGATATGCGAAGAATTCGAAGGGGAAACACTTATCCCACTTATCCCTAATTGTTCAGCAATAACCGTAGGATCATTTTTAATTTAATTTCTTTCTTTGGAAACTACAATTTATTCAATTTTCATAAAGCATTTATTTGTTTGTATTTGAATTTGGGAAAATACAGCAATTTCAGTTACGGCGGCTTTGTGGTGGGGCTACACTGCAAGAAAAGAGCGGATTTAGAAAAAATTGGAGATACAGACGCTTTGTTAAGATGTTGTACACACCTATAGAAATTAACTATTGTCCTCCTCGTAGTCATTGTCTCCGTAGAGTCTCTGTCCGCGACCTGCGACTGGGGGGTTCGCCTCTGCTGCATCATCTTCATCTCCTCCTCCTCCACCTCCACCTCCGCCGCTCTGAGAACTCTCGTGATCCGCCTTGCCGCGACTACCGGAGCCGCCATTGCTGCCCGAATGTCCGTGGCTCTCGGAACTCTCGTAAATGGAGCGGACATAGCGACCGCCAAAGCTATCGTCGATACTAATTTCGTAGCTGCTGTGATGACTGTGCTCCCCTTCCGGATTCTTTTCACCGTCCGCCTCTTCTTCAGCCAGGGCGCGCCTCTTGGGTCCATCTTGACTGTCGCTGTCGTCGTTGTCATCATCGTGCCCAGCCGTCTCTGCGGGCGCCACATAGGCGTGACTGTCTCCATTACCGCCACTTCCACCATCACCACTACCGCCATTACCGCCACTACCACCATCGCCATCCCCGCCACTTCCACCATCTCCGCCGCTGCCACCACCATTGCTGCCACTTGCTGCCCCACTACCAGCGCCAGCACCTTCGTGGGAGTCATTATCCCCTCCTGTGTCCCCACCGGAACCTGTGTGCGTTTCCTTGGAACCATCTGATTCTCCATTACTGGCGCCAGCACCGCCGCCAGCTTCCGCATGCTCAGGATGGTCGGCAGCTCCAATTCCGGTACTGTCGGCCCCGGAGCCCGCATCCGGATTATTGTTGTTGAAGGCAAAGTTCATGTAATACTTCTGTGCGACAACGCAGTCCTGTAGCTGCCACAGCGCCAGTAAAAACACTAGTGCACCCAGCCTCAGCATCCTTGTGAGTCCTTCTCGTTGGCGGATACGCAACTATTCTGGGTTGGTGCACGCACTCTTTCAGCGTACTAACTGAACACAGCGCCCGATTCCTCCCTTATATATAGATGAGGCGCCCACACTGCAACCAATCCCATTCGCCAGACTCCGCGCATAATCGATTTCTTCCCACACAAATGTCCACAGGCCCAGGCAATTAATGCAAGCTGAAGCATCGCATAGGTCGGCGGCATGAGAACTATATGCTAAATATGTAGTAGCAAATGGACTGTCGAGCTGATAAGTTGGCGCTGGAAATGGGCAAAAATATGTGGTACCCAAAAGGTGAAAGGGTGTACTAATTTAAATAATTTATTAATTAAATAATTTTTTTGCAACTGAAGCAGCTGAAAATATGAAGGGTGTTTATGCCCTTTGGTTCGAAGATTCCATTTGGAAAAGTCAATGTGAAAAATACACTACGAGAAAGTAGTAGTAGTAGTTGTTGAAAATTGCGATAAAATCGAAGCGGGCAAAGCATCGCTCAAGAGCTACAAATTTACCACAAAATGCTAGATTTAAGAAGAAGAACTATCTGGTATACATACATACATACATGTACATATGTAAACAGACTAATAGCTGCTAAGGCCTCCGACGCCACTTCCAAAAGAGTTGGCCCTGCGAGGAAAAGGGTCTGGTCTGGCATGAGATATTGTTTTGTGTGGGTTTTCAATTTAAAATTATGGCCACAGTGGGTGGAGGGGGCAAGGTGAACCGATCGAGTGTGTATATCTAATGCAAATTCCAGTGGGTTATTAATTAATTTAAATATGTTGGAATGTTTTCCAGTGATGGTAATGATAATACAAACCTGCCTTATTAGTTGATGGAACAGTCCTTTTTCAGCTATTAGAGTCTGGGGAACAGAGCTTCGTTTTTAAGGCTCTTAACAACAGCAGTTTAAAGAATCCTCTTTAAGAAATATTACCTATTACAATCCGTAATATTGGAATTCCTCAGCACAATAGTAATATGCCTTATAATGTTTACAAAATCAAGGAATTGCCAGTATCAAGCGTTGCGTCTACCGAATAACGAATTGTTTTCTTTTATATTTGATCTTATGATAAGAAATGGGAATTCAATTTGTGTTCTCTAACCATTGAGTTTTACAATGATTGCTGACATTCTAAAGGCATGGGTATTAGAAAAGTATTACAGAATTGTATTACATGAATAGTATTACAGAATAGTATTAAAGAATAGTATTACGGAAAAGTATAACAGCAACAGATCGAAGGCTTCATTAGATATAGATTATTGTAGTCTTCTTAGCCAAGTCTTAAAATCTCCCGTTTGTTAGTAACAAAATAAATTCATTCCACACCTAAGGTAGTTTACAAAAGACGAATCTTTTTCTGTTAGTTATTGAAATAAAATCGAAGGCTTTATTAGATATTATTGCAGTCTTCTTAGCCAAGTTTTAAAATCTCCCGTTTGTATAGTTTAAGTAACAAAAGAAATCCATTCCATACCTAAGGTAGTTTACAAAAGCCGGAAGTTTTTCTGTTAGTTATTGAAACACAATTTATGTTGAGCAGGACTATTTCGATAACCCGCCTAGTATGCCTACTACCGTATTTAGTTCCACTTAAATAAGTATATACGAGTATAAAATGAATTGATAGTACTAGTTGGGTCAACGCTTCTTCTCTATGTTGCCAGCTGCTCCGGCCACTGCTCGACTATTGCTGCCAAACAGGTTGCGCCACGGAATTCAATCAGGGCCAATCTATAATAGAAATCTCATGTGGCGCGCGCGCACACCCAGCGGCGTCGGCTGTGGCTCTGGCAGCGGCAGCGGCTGCGACTTCAACTGCGACTGAGGCCGTTGCCGGTGTCAGCCCACTTTGAATCGATTTGAACGCTGACTGGCCGCCGGTAGTTGTTGGCGTCGTGCGTTGCAAATATGAAAATGCTACTGCAGCAGCAAAAGCGGCAAGTGGTATTGGCAGTGGCAAGCAGTCAGCAAAAATCGTTTTTCATTAACAATTTTAAAAGCCGCGCATTAATCACACACACACACACAGCTATACTCTATGTGAGACGCCCTCCGTTGGCGTTGGTCATGGTGGCTGCTGCAGCCTCCGCAGAATGTTGCACATAAATTTTCAAGCCATACACTTACACACACACACACACATGCATATAAATAGGAAACATGCATACTAATACATTGCATTCTCTTGGCATTGCAGCATTTTCGTGATCAGTGCATCGATGGCACGGGCCTGCCGCTCTTAACTGAAGACCATTTGGTAAACTCGCTGGGCATGAAGCTGGGACCGGCGCTGAAGCTGCGCTCTATATTGGCGAAGAAATTGGGCGGGCCGTGTCCGTGTGTTGCGTGCGTTGCGCAGGCGCAACAAATGTTGGCATTGCAAACGGGTGGGGCTGCAGCAGCAGCAGCAACAACAACAACAGCGACTGCAGGCAGCAGCACAACATTAACAACAACAACAACAACAGCAGTATCAGGAGCAGCAGCAGCAACTACAACAGCAACAACAAGCACGGTCTGTCATTTGTCAAGCAGCAGCGGCAGCAGCGGCGGCAGCGTTGACTGCAATGGTCCCAGCAACATTGCTGAGACGAATAGCAGCAACGATGTTGCGGCAACCTCACGTAGCAACATGTCAGGGCTGCCGTGCAGCTTTGATGATGTTGCCAGCAACAGCACGACCAACAGTAACAACAACAACAACAGCGGCGATTTGCATTGCAGTTAGTGGCGGATTTTAGAAATTTGCTGCACGTCACAATTATTATAATAATTGCATTTTAACTTAATTATTATTGTTGTACCAAATGAGCTTTCAAAAATGAAACAACTATCTAATAAAATAAATTAAACTATACATACATACATAAATTAATGCTAAAACTAAAGTTGCAAACTTTAACATTAACAGCAACAACAAATATCGCAAAGTCTTCCAATTTGCACAGAGAATAGCAGAATAGAAGGTAGAACTAAATCTATATACTATATTTAGTCAATCGGCATATGTTAACAATATTTGCAGAACCACAATTTATTTTATGTACTTAAGCATGTAATGATGATGAATTAATTTTACTTTTGTTTATAACTGCTAGTCAGTAAATATTTAATAGCGTTCAGACCCTCCCCTTCCCCCGCTCCCACACTTAAACAATTGAATTCTGTATTTTGTAAACAATTTAAAAATCGAAAGGCTATTTATTTTTGTAATTCTATGTATGTAAGAAATTCAATTGTTATTATACTGTATTTGTTTAAACTATTTTTGCGGCCATGCACAAAGAATAGAAGAATTCAAAATTCGAAAAATATATATGAAATATTGTTTTAAGAGCTCCAAGACTTGAAAAGAAAAACACATACGCAAAGCAAATAACGAACTCTGTACATATTGTATATTTTTTTAAATAATCTAGAGAAAATCTAATACGAGAAACTTAAAAACTACACATATGTGTAGATATGTATATTTACAGTTAATTTAGGCACCAATAAATAAATATAATTATTATTAATACAATATATATTACTTATATATAAAAGCTACTGATATTTTCACAAGCAAATAAACTTCAATATATAGTTATATATTGCAAAAAAAGCAACAACAACAACAATTGAAATACTGTGCATGCAATTTAACAGGAATGCAACAACAACTGCCACTACAGACGGCTGCGCATGTGCTGACCTCCAGCGCGTTGGCGTCGCCGTTGGGTCAAGCAGAACCGTTGCGCCAAAAGGCAACCAAGGATGGCCACATAAACAATTAAAAGCACGCAGTGCGCTTCAGCGTCTAATTACAAATTGGAGTCATTGAATTTATTAAAATCAGGCGCAACGAAAACCCATGAAATAGCAAAGGCAAGTGCAATTGAAATCGCAATTGCAGCCCCGACACGCGATCCGCTGATAATAGAAATATAGTACTTACATATGTACTACAAGTATGTGCTGCCAACTATTTAATGGCGAATATGGGAGCAGAAAAAGTATGCTACGATCATACGATATAATGTTCCTGTAGCATACTTTGCGGGGGGTGTTCCATATCCCAGCCATTATGCTACTGCCATTATTCCAGGCATCGCAGCCATTTTAAATCAATCATTTTAAGCAAAAGGTAATACTTTATAAACAGCTTTTTTCCCATTTCCAAGTTTCTGTAAGCTCTACAAACAGTTCCCTTCCTGTTTTAAAGTCATTGATTAAACCTTTCATTGCAGTACTAATCATAAATTCTGGAAAACATTTGAAAATACATATAAGCAACTGTGAATGTTTAAGTAGGAAATTAAACGTAATGCAACGTCTCTAATTGGTTCTGACTACGAAACACGTAGTAAAAATTATAATAAATAATAACAAAAAGGGCATTAACTTAAATTAACTGAACTTGTCATGGAAAACAGATGTTTGTTATCGATTAGCGCTGGCTGTGCCTTAAAATATCGATATCGAATGGTTGTAAACTACGTGTGTATGACAAATTTGACCGGCCGGCAAAATTTTAAAAATGTTTAATCGATAGAAAGTTAACCTATACTATATATGTATGTACATATGTATGTTAATAGGGACATTCGCTTCCGTTGTTTGTTTGCAGTCACTGACTATCAAGAGAAAACCTTAAAAATCTTTTCCTTATTCAAATGTATAAGCCCCTGATGCGCAGGAAAAAGGGATAACTGAAAGCTAATAGTCGTATGCCCACTACTGTTTCAATTAAAAAGCTTCTTTAATTATTTGACATAACTATTTATACATTTATTTATGGAATTGATGAGAATACCTTGGCCAACAAATGACCTCTTTTTATGAAATAAGTGTTCTTTGGACTTAAAAGATAACATATCATCGCAATTTTAAGCGTATCACTCCCCTATGTGGCAATTGGAGTAGGCTCGCTGGCAGCAGGTGGGGCTGCAGTACCATTGCCATTCTGCTGCTTGGCAGCGGGCAATTCCTTGACGCCGGTTGAACCAAAACCGGCCTCGCCACGTTCAGTGTCTTCCAGCTTGTCCACCATCTCCAGTTCCGGGTAGAAGATGCGCTCACAAATGAATTGAGCAATGCGGTCGCCACGCTTCACCTCAAAGTCGGTGTCTGAGTGATTGAAGAGGACGACGCCCAGGTTGCCGCGATAGTCTTCGTCCACCACACCGGCGCCAACATCAATGAAGTTCTTCACCGCCAGGCCGGAACGTGGGGCCACGCGTCCGTATGATCCCTCTGGCACTTGCACCTGCAGATCAGTCTTTACAATCGCTTTGCCGCGGGCCGGCACAACCAAATCGTAGGCACTGCGCAGATCCACTCCTGCAGCCTTGGCAGAGCCACGCAACGGTTCCATTGCAAACTCGGTGAGCTTCGCAAAGCGCAAAATAGGCTGAGCAACCATTTTCATTTTCTTGGCAGCTGGAACGTCGTCAATGATTGGTGTGGGCATCTGTATTTAGACTGAAGTTTAAGAACAAGGAGCACGATGCGCAGAGTTATGCGAACTTACAAACAATAAGCGAGCGCGCTTTTGCGGCGTCCAACGCTGATTTGGCGGTCTTTTGGCAAACACACAGCTGTTCGTGAAGTTGCTGTGTTTAGGAAAAACATCGATACATCTGCTTTGTATTTCGTATTTCGATAGACAGCAACCATCGATAAGAGCTCAGCTGTGTCAAATGGCCGGTCAACGGAAACAAAATATTGATTTGCAATAACTGCAATTTAGAATAGCGTAGCATAGTTGGCTTAGTCAGAATGGATTTCACGGATTTTGAAGTGCGCAAGGTAAGTGAGCGAGCCATCAAGCTGTCCAAATTATAGTTTCTGGTTGAATTTTCCAGTGCCCGCCCACTGCCATGTACATTCCCAACTTTATTACCTCGGAGGAGGAGCAGCGCATTCTCAGTCACATTGAGCGCACGCCCAAGCCGCGCTGGACGCAGCTGCTGAACCGTCGGCTCATCAACTATGGCGGCGTGCCGCACCCAAATGGCATGATAGCTGAGGAAATTCCGGAATGGCTGCAAAGCTACGTGGACAAGGTAAATAATCTGGGCGTCTTTGAGTCGCAGAATGCCAACCACGTGCTGGTCAACGAATACCTTCCTGGCCAGGGCATTTTGCCACACACAGATGGGCCGCTCTTCTTTCCCATTATTTCCACAATTTCGTGCGGAGCGCACACAGTGCTTGAGTTTGCCAAACGAGAGAACGCGAATCCGGATGCTGGACAGACCGCTGCAACTGCCACTGTTCCGGGCGGCGACAATGCGCCACCGCGAAAGGTTATCTTTAAGCTGCTGCTGGAGCCGCGCAGCCTGCTGATACTAAAGGACACTCTCTACAGCGACTACTTGCATTCCATTAGCGAGGTTAACGAGGATACGCTCTGCGATCGTATCTGCAACTATGATCTGTGCGAGAATACCTACAAAATCGGCGACCACTTGGCCCGCCGCGCGCCTCGCATATCACTAACCATTCGCAATGTGCCCAAGACGAGCAAAATGAAACTGAAATTCTGTTAGACTGATGCACTCACTCAAGGGCTTGGATGCCATTTCTTCGCACAAACATATACTAAGTGTGTTGTTATTGTTGTTCATGTTGCTGTTGCAGTTGCTGTTGTTAACTAAATGCACAAACACACACGCATACACACACAGCGTGCAGTTCGTTACTGTAACCCACTGAGCTCAGCCCACAAATTGCTAGGAGCAACGCAAAAGCTAACTAACTCTATATGTATTCATTTTGTATATTATGTACGATAGTCTGCAGATCTTCCGCACAACCACACTCCACACATGCAGTTTATCCATCACCATTACTACTTTCCGCATTGAATGCAAAATATTAGCTGTTCAAACAGTGTATCAACATTGCCCACAAAGTGCTTTATTTTTAGTAAACGGAAAAGGAAAGTTGAAGGTAGTATGCCTAGTTAGGTCAATGGACAATTGATATGGAAAGCAATATATTTTATAAATTTAATATATATTTTGTGTATGAACAGTTCGTTTGTTAGGCACCAAACTAAAAGATAAAATATGCACAAAAAATTAAATTAAGATTTACAATTTAAATGTTTAACTCCCCTAGTAGGGTGCCAGATATTGTCGAGCATATCAACAGTTTGATTATTTCATTTATAAAATCATCCATATCGGACTTTGAAAAATAACATCATCAATTCAATCCCTTTTTAAGGAGTCGTTTTTTAAAGAAATCTGTAGATAAACCTTGTCAGGAAACGGGCTAGCTTTTACCCAACCGATTTGTTTTAAAGATTTACTGAGACCCTTTTAGTAATGTACATTTTAAAGTATTTTTCTACCTCGATATAGTGTTTTAAATCCGGGATTACAAATTAATTACAAATTTTCAAAAACATTCTCATGTCACATATCGCAATCACTGTAATATTCAAAATGATTTTTAAATTTCAAGGCGCGGAGGTAAAATATTGAAATACTTTTCACATCTTCGTTTAATATAAGTAAGATATTTGTAGTAGCTTTAATAATTGTTTATTCGTTAATTTTAGCGGCAACCCTCGACAATTTCTGGCACATACCTGCCCCCACCTGTATCATATATTGTTATATTGTATGCAACAAGACTAGATGTGCATGTATTTGAGAAGTCCTGCGTGTATTTTTGTAAACGTTTTTCACTGCACCAAAGACAGAGCGATATGTGAATTCAAAATTTGGCAAAAATAAATGTTTGTCCATTTGTTGTTAAGCTTGCAACTGTGCCGTCTCAATGTGCTGCCTCTCCAAACAGGGTGCTGGGCTCAGGCCTCATCCTGCCACTCAAGCCGAAATTCGCGCTCAAACACCAGACGATCGTACAGTCGCACCTCGCTAATGCGAGCCGATATATCCAGTCGCAGCTCACTGACTGCCAGATGGAAGTTCTGTCGCACTGCACGCTGCTTGTCGGGCGTCAATTGGTTGAGCGGCTTCCGGAAGACGCTGATGATGCGCTGCAGGTGGTATTCAACGCTGGCGCAACGACCGATGCACACCCACAGGTTCTCCGGATCGTGTATGTTGCCGGGAAAGCGAGTGCGCTGGTCGAAGGGCGCCTTCCCCGAGAGCAACGAACGCACCTCGGCCACAATCTCCTGGTGCGTCCTCAGGTCCCGTGTGCTCAGCGTCTTGAATTCGTATTTGTCGCAGAAATACATGAGATCGCTGATGGCACACCAGGGCTGAGAGGAGAGCGATGTGTGGTTGTTGGACCAGTTGGTGTAGCAACCGGAGCACTTGCTGGCCACAAGAGAGGTGGTCGATTGAGAGTTCGTGGTCGAGGTGGTCTTGGTGGTGGTGGAGGTGTTGGCGGCACTCTCGCTGCTCTTGTGGGCTGTGCTGGCTGTTGAGGGAGTGGAGGCGGTGGCTACGTCGCTGCTGCTTCTGGCACTGCCATTCATTGCCTGCTGTTTCTCTGTTAGCTGCGCCATCTCCTTCTCATGCTCTCGGGCTCGCAAATACGCCTCCTTCTTCTGTTGCAGTTCCTGCAGTTTCGTCATCTTCGGTGGCGATTTGTTCTTTGTGAAGAGAGAGGGAAGTGGTGCTGGTGGTGGTGAAAACACCACTGTCGGTGCCACCGCTGTCATTTCTCTGGGCAACTGCTCTGTAAGCTGGCCATTCGTATCCAAGGATGCACTGCGTCCGTATTTGGCGCGATAGCGCTCCAGTGTATCCAGCGAGAAGCTCAACTCCTTTTTAATCGTCTTCTGCATACCGTTGTGGGATTTTTCTCTACGCGTGTCTCTTTATGTAATCGCCTTGAAATGCTGAATACACGCGTCGCACATCCACCACAAGAATTTACAAGAGAATGAATGATGCATCCGATCAAGCTATGGCTCTGACTGTAGCTATAGCTATGGCTGTGGTTGTGGCCACGGCACGCTGCCGGCAAATCACTCGCAGCGCAAATTCTTTAGTACCGCTCTTTATTTTTATCTTTTATCAATTAGAACAGCGCACAGTGGCCTCCAATTATTCAGAATTTATAATTATATAGGCATCTGTTATTGTGATTATTAGAATATATTACTGTATTGGAAAATATTTGACTGTTTGAACATTTTGTGACTCTAATTTAGAATCCCCTTGCCTATTTCCCATTTGGTTCGCATTGGTCACGTGGATTCCACTGCTGCAGACACAAATGATAGCCATAAGGCCCACTGTGCGATACGAACAGATTGCTAGCTTGCTCAATATGCACTTTATTTTCGTCTTGTCGATGGGTAATGCTTTTCGATTGTGTTTTTGCGATGCGTGCTTGCGAAGCGGCGCTGCTAGACACTGAAATATCAGAGCACAGAAACAATTGATGACGCGTTGAGAAATTTCGAATTTAATTGGGAATTACATGTTAGATCTTGTAGTACTATAATTTACAGAAAACAAAAAAACAAAAAACATATGCGGAGTCACATATCAGATATTAGTATTAGGCACCAATAAGGTTAAACGGTTAAGCAAACAGCGTTTCTGCTTCATAACGCGTTTATTTTTACGGATCAGCTTGACGATCTTGAGTTTCATACGTTTATGGATGCGACGATGACGTCGACAGCAGCGACAGTTCCTACACTTGTGAGTTGGCCTGGCTTGGCAGCCTACGCCTGCCCTAGGCCCGTGCGTTTGACGCACAATTGATGTGTGAGACACGACTGCGCGTCCGCATTGTCCAGAGATTGCGGAGCGGTTTCGCTGACTAAAGCGCTGCAAAGCTGTGCGTCTCCTACGCATGCTCCCGGTCTGGCTATCGTCCAGTCCCAGTTGGCTTACATCACCCCAACTGAAGACATCGCGTTCGGACTGATTCATCTGAGTGTGTTCCATTGCTTCTGCGACCTCAGTTTGTGGTTCTTGCTTGATGGGTATCATTTCTTATCTGGAAAAACGAAGAGGACATTAGAATGTTTGTTTTGAAAACTTTCCAACTTCTTACCCAAATATTTGTGCGGAAAAATTAAATAATATTCGTCGGTTGCTTACTGTCCGCCTCCAAAAACAGCACTGAACTTTTAATACAAGTATTTAAAATATTTTCGTATACTCGCAGTTACTGCATTAACAGCAATTCAAAGGCCTACTGATGTTCATTGATAATCATTGTTTTATTTATGTTCGTAAAAATATACATAAATATGCATTCATACTTGCAAATGGCACACATTTTAATAATATTGCATAAGTACAAAAATTCATTTCCATTATTTAGTTTTCGTTTTGTGTGTGCTTTTAATTAAACATCATTTAAAATGTAGGTACATGTAAATATACATATATGTATATTATAAATAAGTTGTTTAAGAATTTGTTGTTTATAAACAAATGCAAAAAGTGCGTGTCATGCATTTAATACTCAATTTCGAGCCGGCTCTACCAGCGCCAGCACTCTTAAACAATTTTTGAAAAGGGCACTTCAATCGTTTAAATATATATAGTACATAAATATTGCCTTACACGAGAACATTTAAACATTTAAGTATGTATAATTAGAGAAAATGTACAAATCAAGTTATGACTACAAATAGAACATTTACTTTTGATTTCATTGCTTGCTAAACTTTAAAATCAAACACAGAACAGACTTAGAAAATACAACATCCATTGGGCAGCAACATTGTTGAAAGAGTTGCTCGACAAGGCACAAAACGTTCGGGCAACATGTTGCCAAGCTAGGCGAGAATGTTGCTACAAAGAGAACAATAACAGCAATCGACTTATAAACCTAAAATCTACTTACTACACAGACCACATGCAAGACAAATTTAGAGGAAACTTAAGCATAGATTTGTGTAATTTACAATACAGCCGAAATCAGACAGAGAAGTGGTTTGTCTGTGCGATTTCAGAATAAGGATATCTGGACTGCTGCTCAAACGCAATACGCGGCGGGCACCTCGAAGATAATGTTGCCAGCGGAATGACGGAAATTGGGATTCTCCACATTGGCCACCGCCTCAACAAGAATGGTGCGTGGCTTACCGCCCAACCGACAGGGAATACTGTTGCCGACATCGACGCGTAATTCCTGACCGACCACACTGAAAGGATAACCAAGAAGTGAGTAATGAGATCTCAATAGCTGAGAAGCTTGGCAAACTTACTCAAAGTACTTTTTACACACAACACCAACAAGCTCGCCAATGCGATCCTCTTTCAGGGGCGTGAACTCGCCCTGCAATGCAAAAACCAAATCATTGTTCGCAGGGGAATGGAAGACAATCAGCTGGTCGCGGCCAGGTGTGATGCTAATGTGGGTAAGCTGAAACAGACGAAGTATTTATTATTGACAAATCAATTCAAAAAAGAAGAATGCGATCTGAAGTTAATGTAAAGCTGTTAAATGCAATTAAAATGTTAAAGCTTGCTGTTGAGAATCACCGAGAAGGGCGCTAAAAAAGTGTGAGTATACAACAAAACATATTAGTTGTCTCGTAGTACAAATAATAGAAGGTTGTATGCCATTATCTCTGTTCTGAGATGATGGATCTTAAAAACACAAACATTTCTATAAACACGCGTCAATTGTTTGCCTACGGAAATATTTATATTTTTATGTTATTCTAGCTACTGCACTAGCGTTGCGAATCGCCAGAAAGCGTTTGAAATGTAGTTTTGAAGTTCAAAAAGTTGTCTGCTCAAGCTAATAATTTGTTGGTCCTGCTTGTTAATTCTCATTAATTAATCTCTACGAGTATAACATACTTCTTTGATTGTGATGGAGCGCTGCATATCTTTGAATTTCTTCTTGATGCCCTCCAGCTTGTAAATGGCTGTGTCTGTGACAATGAAGGCGCGATCCGCCTGCTTGTTGTGTTTGTTGAATTTCTTGGCGAAGGCGGAGAAAAGCACGGCCCGGAAATCTCCGCTGTTCTTCAGATTGCGCACATTAGCACTGTAGGCCTCGTAGCCGCTATTGTCCTGCGAGTTGGCCAGATAGTCGCCCAGCCAGCGACGCGCCTGACCCCAGTGGGGACGACGTCCCTTCAGGGCTGTGGCGGCGATGATCTGCAGACGCAATTGCGGCCACTCGGAGCGTGGATATTTGCGCAGAATCATGTAGGCACGCCAGAAGTTAAACATGCGTCTCAGCTTGCCCTCGGCCTGGCGGCCAGCGAGTGGGGGCTGTGGCCATTGAATGCTGCGTCCATAATCGCGCAGCTGCTTGGCACTGCGGAAGCGCTGCGCCAACTCCTGGACGTAGGACCTCAACTTGTAGGTCTTGTAGGCACGCATGATGGATAGCGCTGCCTTCATCTTCTTGTAGTTCTGACGAGCAATCCAGCCCCGCACCTGTTTCTGCAACAAGGTCACAATGTGGGGAATCATCTCGTTGCGCTGCTGCTCCAGTGCGAAGAGGGTGCGCGGCGATCTTATGAAGATCTTCGTGTGACCGTACTTCACGTCCTGAGCAAAGCCCTTCTCCTCGATGAGGACACGCACGCCGTCGCGATCGCTGCCGGCACGGAAATTAGGCCACGTGTACTGTGAAATCATCTTGTAGCGCAGCAGGAATTTGTCGTAGCGCTGCCGATTGACAAAGCCGGCACGACGGACGCGCACATTCTCGAGCAGTCCCAAATAGCGGACCTGATGTTGCACGCGCTCCTCGTCGAACACCGAGGAGCTCTTGATGTCGTTCGGCTTGATGCAGCGCACATAGAAGGGCTCCTTCTTTAGAAGTGTGGCCACCAGATCGGCCATCGAACGTTGGAAGAGCGTGCCGGCGGTCAGGGGTCGCTTGGTAGTCTTCTTAATGTCCTGGGCGCCCTCAGGCCACATTTCGCTCAAATTGGCATCCTTGGAGTTGTGCAGCAGGCGCTTAAAGTCCTGATACAGCGTATCCTTGTTCTTCTCAATGAAACCATTGATATTGTAGATGACATCGCCGGCATAGTGTGTGATGCGGAAGTCCTCGCGATGCTTCAGCTCCTTGTCTGTCGGCTTCAGCTGACGACTGGTGTAGTGCGGATGCTTGTTCAGGTTCTTGTCCATGGCGCCCAGCAGCGTGTCATCCGTGACTTTGCCAACGCTGAGGCAAGCCTCGTCCATGATGGCGATAATGCCTTTGTGCGGTTGCTCCACCAGGTCGCAAATAATCTGAAATTAAGAGGACATTGGGTCAGTTATAGGCAATCCTGACTGTATCGCAGAATCAGAACTCTTTTCAGTGAACTAATTCTGATAGTCTTTGTGTTCGACTCCCACCTTATTGTTGAAGTATTCAATGTTGGTCCATTCAATGCCCTCGCGCTGATACTCCTCCTGCTCCTGCTTAAGCACCAGCTCTGTAATTAAACCATGTTGTTCGATTATCACCATTTCATTATGGTTTTTACTCAGTTCACATACCAATGAAGAGTTGCTGCAGCTTCTCATTGCAGTAGTTGATGCAGAACTGCTCGAAGCTGTTGGAGTCGAAGATCTCGAAGCCATAAATGTCGAGCACGCCGATGACGGTGTTGAAGCGGGCCTGCGTTTTGCTGCCTCGGAAGAGAATGGCGCGATTGATGCGCGATATGATCCAGGTGAAGAGCCTGTCGTAGATGGCCTTGGCCAGCGCATCCTTGCCATATTCCGCCTGTGTGGCATTGTGATCCTTCTGCATCACAGTGCCGCCCGCAGCAATGACGCGCTGCGTCAGCGCTGTCGATAATTCCGATTCGGTCACTTGCAATAGCTTGGCCGTCGACTGTAAATGCTTCTTGTTGCTGATGACCAGCTCGTCCTCGATTGCTGCAGGTAGGCAAAGGATTATTTATTAAGTGGAAAAATGGAAAGCTGAAGACCACAACTCACTTTGGAACTCCACGTTTCCCAAATGCAGAATGGCGCCCACAGTGCGCCAAATGGTTTGCACTTCGTCGGTGGAGAAGCCGAGAGTTTTGAAGGCATTGCAGGTGCCCTTGTAGTCGGACTTCTCATTCAATATGTCCATGCTGCCCTGATTCAAGTAATGGTATTTGCCGGTCTCCTTCTGCAGATCATATTGTCGCAGCTCGTTGTCAGTGGCACCGCGTAGCAGCTACAAAGTAGACAAAATGTTTAACGCTTATGGGCTCGCTGAAATGTAATACCTCTATACTTTTTTCTCTTTTGAAATTCTAGTCATTCTTTTATGTAAATTAACGTCTGCCTGCCCATGTCCATGTTAATGTCTGAACATTTAGTCTAATCGCCAATTGGCACACATGTTAACCATAATTGAACTTCCGCTTCTAATTGGTCCGTTTGCCATTTTTATTTGATTGCGGTTTGTTGTCTTAGGCGATTGCGAATGTGAATACAAAAAAATGATTGTGCTGTACATGTTGCTTCAATTAGACTCAATCAAGTGTATATAGTATGATGAAGTATCTAACAAAAGGTAAATAATTCTAAGCAACGCAAACGGTTCGGTTTTCAATTTGATTTCAAACAATACTTTTTCGTTAACACAAATGCATTTTTTCGTTTGTAAAAAGAAGACAGTTGAGAAAATTTCCAAAATTGCAGAATCCTTTAGAAATAATATAGAAATGATTGAACAATTCTTGGTTATAGTACATAATATATTCGATATAAGTCAAAAATAAATAAAAATTGAAACTACAACTAAACTTTTTTGATATAAGTAGACGGGGAAGCTATTGGCAAATGATGGATTAGGTTAGAAAATTTACCAAATTAGAAAGAATAGACTGTATAGAAAGATTTTTAAGATCTGCATCTGCAAACTGTTTTTAAGAATTTTGTTTGATTTGAAATTAATAGTAATCTTTATAAAATCCACAAAAAAAAGGGGGAAATTAGTAGACATATAAATCAGCCGTTCTATTTTTGCTTTCTTATGTGCTCCGAAAAATTGTGAATCTAAAAACCTGTATATCATCAACTGTTGGGTTTGGCGCCGTTTTTATCAATGGCTGATAAATTGCAAACACCGTCTGTAGGCGAGAACTGATTAGACAAGCAACCACGCCCAGTCTATATTTAAAATGCCTTCCACTTTATTGTGTGCACACATAGAAAGAACAGCCGACATACTATATAAGGAAAAACCTGAACACAATAAGAACCATGGAGTCATTTAATGTGATTGAGAAATTAAAGTCTGAAAAGCTTGTGTGCTAATTATAAATGTGAGCACTGAATGAACAAACTTAATCATCGTCATGTCATTCTCAATCAATTAACACCTTCATGCTAAATGAACAAAAAATAATACAAATAAAATACATATAATGCTGGCACGTTATCAATGAAATGGGTGAGGAATATGAAAAATATATGAAGAAACCTACATGCATACATTATATAGTCCATTCCTAATATGATCTGTATACTTGTATATATATGACTAATCTTACGTTATCGGATGGGTATTCGAATAACGTCTGGGCTATGACAGCAATCGTATTTATTTAAGTAACACATGAGACTCAATTCTCAATTATAAAGTCTAATGACATCATCAACTGTGCGCAGTAATTGGCAAATTAATTACTGAATAATCTACTTACGAGTATTTCGAAAATAAAACAAGACTAGGAAGGCGGTTCAAATAATTCAAAAGAATGTATAAGCCACTTTTAGGAAGCACTAACATATATACAAGTTAGTTTAAATACATACAAAAAAATCTGTATTATTCAATGGGGAATTGGGAATTTTTCTTATCAAAGACTTCTGCCATTAAGCTCTATAAAAAGACATTTATTTTATCAGTTTCCCACTTATAGTTAGTGATTCATTATATAAACGCACGTCAAAGTAAAATAAATAGATAGCAGACAAATATTTTGGATAAGATTGTATTTATTCCTCGACATTATAAAAATGTATCACATAACGGTTTGAAGGCATAACTCATTTCAACCACACCCCAAACCCAAAACTATAAAATTGACAGCTAAAGTACTAACGAGGCTCAACACAGAGTCGACTCTTCACACCCACACCCACAACCCCCTCCCCCCGTCCATAGCATTCACTGATATGCTGAAACTATTTGTAATTGACGCCTCAGGCAGTCCACCCCTAAACAGACACGCGACACGCTGCTGACTCACTGCAAACACAAACAGCTCATCCGAGCTAGAGATGTGCGTGATTCAGCGGGAAAGACCAGGAACTAGAGCGTGATGGTTACATGAAACATTTGAGCCTCTGCAAAGGCATGGCTTATGGTCAGCAAACCATCCATTTGTTTACATTCCTAAAAACCAATACAGACGCCTCATTTGATAGTTTTCTAAACAAATAGATATAAATATAGATAATACTTGGTATCCACATTTCAGATCGTTAATTTAAAATGCTTTATTGCATTCCTAAAATCCAATACAGACGCCTCATTTGATAGTTTTCAAAACAAAAATACAGATAATACACCCTAATTCTGCTTTTACACGGTATATTGGTTCCTTATATCTAAAGACATATCTATGGAAATTTTAATTTAAAAAAGACCGTGTAAAAACAGAATTAGGTGTACTTGGCATCCACATTTCAAATCGTTAATTCAAAAAGCTTTATTCTAATACATTATACCATATTTTGATGATCTTTTTTTTTGAGAATCTGACGCATTAAAATACAGATACTATACTATATAGTAATACTTGGCATCCCCATTTCAGATCGTTAATTCAAAAAGCTTTATTCTAATACAATTTATAATATTTTGATATTTTTTCAAGAATCTGTCGCAATATTAATAAATGAGTTGTAGACAGTATCGTCTTATTTTCGGGGAAGGTCTGAAAAATAAAATCTAAGCCTGTCTATGAAGCAGAAAAATGCTTTTCGTTAGTAGGGGTTTCCTGACATATTTCTAAAATGGAACGAACTGCGTGCAAACTAATTGTCTGACTGACCGCATAACAAAGTTTTCTGTCATCAGATCAAACTTTTTATGTTATTTTGACTTATTCTATTATTATTTTATTTTTGCTTAAATTCGAAGCATGTTTTTTATTTTAGTTATTAAGAATCTATTTAAAATAAAATATATATATATTTTTTATTTCAGTTCCCTTTCCTTTCAGTTTCCTTGAATAAAATGGCTTTTTTACATAGACATTAAAGATTTAAAAAATTCCCCAGAATTATAAGGAACATTTTTGAAATGCCACTCATACTAAGCAAAGTAAATCACTCGACTATATCTCATCTATAGCTAAGTACTTCTCACACACCACCTACCTGATAGAAACTGTGGAAGTTCCTCTCTCCCGGCTGCTGCTGCACTACACGCGACTTCTCCAGCAAATAGTTTGTGATAATGCCACCAACAGGATCCGCCTTGTAATCGAACTCGATGTCCATGTATTTGCCGAAGCGACTTGAGTTATCGTTGCGATTCGTTTTCGCATTGCCGAACGTCTCCAATATCGCATTGCTCTGGATGAGCACATTTTTGACGCTGCACAGAGAATGGAAAATAAAAACGAACATAACATTTTATTGGCATTCATAGACAATTTTTATGCGGGGGGCAACATAAAATGGGGCATGGCCACTAATTAAGAAAATGATGCACGCTTTAAGCGTTACACTAAATGCCATTTTAAAATTGTCTGCCGTCTTGGCACTAAAATTAGCTAAGTAGTAGTTTAGTGGGTTTGGGTTGGGCTGGGCATCGGAATGGGACTCGAAATGGGGCAGAGGTTGGGTTTTTCTATGCTTTTACGAGTGTGTGTGCCTGGCCGGCTGCCTTAAAATGGCAAAGTGATTAAAGTCGCTGAGACGAAGTGCTTTTATCGCAGCTCCTACGTCCTCCCGTCCTCACCAAATGCGGACAATTAGTGAGCAATCAATTTAGCAGTGTACGAGTATGTGCTCAGTGATGTCATCGTGGATATATGTACTATATCGCAGAGCATAATCGTTCCGACGGCTATTTTATCAAGACTTGAAAAAGTATTAGTCACAAGAATTCAGGCTGACTCGATATACTCGATGTTCTGGTTCTCGCACTTTACTCTCTCAATTCCAAGAATAATAGTAATAATATTTTTTGATATTCGAGAAAATCATTCACGATTAACTAGATGCATAAAATAATATGAGTATAAACATATTTCGTTTGAGAATCTCTCTCGCAGAAAGCCAGAACCTCGCAAAAGTTTGCTTTATTTTAAATGAATGCAAAATAATAACTAATTATGAAAGCAAATTTAAGCTTAAACTAAAATAATTAAGTGATGTTGAAATTATATAAATTTACATCGAATTAAATATTCTAATCGCACAGAACAAAACCCGGCAGACTTTTCAAATCAGTTGAAAAAGTTATTCTAATACTGTCTACAATTTCCAAACCTACTCATCTTTTTTTTTTCAACAATATTTGCTTGCAAAAGATAGCTGGTCTGAATCTAAATTCTAAACTTTATATTTTTTCAGAATTTCGTTTTTCAGTTGCCAGTAATATTTCTCCCGTGGGATCCCCATCTCTGTAAAAATGTTCGACAACTATATAAGTATGTCACTACCTTCCTATACTGTAACCCACTTCCTGATTGTGCAAAACTATTTCTAGAAGGTATATTAAATTGTTAGCTAAAATCTATCTTTTGAGAAATCTACTTTCATTGAAGTATGAAATCATTCTGGAAGCCGCTAAAAGAAACGTTTAACAGCATTACAGACACTAGATTTTAATCACACAAGTGGTTTATTAAGCTCGCAAGAGAGAGGTATGGAAATTGACATGTGTTTTGGATATAGTTGTAGTCCCAATTCTCATGCATACGAGTATGGGAATGGTTTAAGTTCGCTTCGGTCTGGCATATTTTTGCCATCAAGTTAATGAAAGTCTCAAGCGAGAAAATGTTGAAAATTTACATTGTAAGCGGCGGGAAAGTCTACACGCTTGTCATCATTAAATACGGGCCATGAGCGCAATATTTAAATAATAATACCAAACGAGTTCCCAGCAGCATTTACATACATAAGTAGTACTATATGTAATTTGTTAACTATGCCTTTTATCGTTGATTGGTCCTCTACACTATAAACTCTTAATATTACGGATTTATGAATGGGGAAAATGTTGAATAAATGATTCACTGCTAAAGCGTAGTTTACGATTCCAGCTTGGACAAGGCATGGACCACATATAGATTGATGGATTAAAATATCAGTATTCGAGATAATGCTAATCCTTACAAGCTTGATATCAGAATTCTCTCAAAATATATAGTATATAACCCATTTGAATTTCACTGAAGCTCAAATAATTTCTGAAAATGTACTCCTCGTATTAAACCTTTTGAAAGGACATAACAGCCTTTTGGACAGTAAGGATGATTGAAAAAAAAAGAAATAATGCTAATCCTTACAAGCTTGATATCAGAATTCTCTCAAAATATATAGTATATAACCCAATTTATTCCACAAAATATATATAACCCATTTGAATTTCACTGAAGCTCAAATAATGCTTTCTGATATTGTACTCTCAGTATTAAACCTTTTAAAAGGACATAAGAGCCTTTTGGACAGTAAGGATAATTAAAAATATATTGTACTCACCGCTCAATTTCGTTCTGTCCCTGAACATTTGTGACGGCCGCAATGTATTTCATAATGATTTTCGAGGCCTCTGTTTTGCCGGCTCCCGATTCTCCGGAGATCAGTATGCAGGTGTCCTGATGCTGCTGCTTGAGGACCCTGTACGCGGAATCGGCGACGGCAAAGATGTGCGGCGGGTTCTCAAACAGCTCCCGGCCCTTGTACTTGCGTATGGTCTCCGGCCCGTAGATGTTCATCTGTCTGTACGGATTCATCGAGACGCACACCTCGCCGATGTATGTGTAAATGGAACCCACTTGGAAGCTGTGCGGAGGGACGGGGGGAAGAAAAACACACGATGTTGGAAAATTAATACACATTGTTTAGAGATGCAGACACAATGCATTAAATCGACTGACTGACTGACTGACTTATTAGATGTTTAATATGCACTCATTGTTGTTGTTGTTGTTGTTGGTGTTGTTTTTGTTGGTGTTGTTTTTGTTATGTAAAGCAACTGCAACAACAATCGGCAGGAGTGTGTGTGTGCCTGCTGTTCGGCTTGCTCGACTTTTCTTTAAAATTCGAATCAAAATTTGTTTTTCAACAGCCACGAAAAAGTTGAAATAGCCGGCTGCTGGCCATTGTCTGTAATTACTTGTATTATGTTTTCCAACAGACACGCGACGGCGTGCGGTGCACAGTTGGCTTTCGATTAATTGCATTACTGGTTGTTGCTCTGTTTTGTTGGTCATATTGATTTAAAATTGTTATTGTTTTGATTGACTGAGGGTGTGTGTTTGTTTTGTATACAGTTTATAGGGCGCCAAAAGTTATAAACTGATTCAGTTGGCCGTATGTGGGTCAATTGGCAGATTGATGGGCATTTGAGTGATATAAAATTGAACTAACTCGGGCTGATGTGCGGAGCGAATCTTTGAAGTATTTGCTGATCTTAAATGGAGAAAAGCTTAGAAAGGCAATAAAGCAGATGCATAAGAACTTCTATACTATAGTATATATATATATTTTTTGATAAGTAAAATTAAGTTCACTACTTCTAAGCACCATTTTATGGGTTGTTTGTCAAAGGCCTGTTTGTTATTCATGTTATTCATCTTTGAAGTATTTGCTGATCTTGTGAGTGGAGAAAATCTTAGCAAGAAAGCAATAAAGCAGATGCATAAGCACTTCAATACTATAGTATATGACTATATTTTGAATACATACATGTATAATTCAGTTCACATCAAGTACTGCTAAGCAGTTTTATTTGTCAAAGGCACTGTTTTCTTGAATATTATTGTGTTTGTTATTCAGTCATCTTTGAAGTATTAACTGATCCTAAATGGAGGAAAAGTTTGAAAGAAGGCAATAAAGCAGATGCATAAGCACTTCTATACTATAGTATATGACTATATTTTGAATACATACTAGCTGGAAGTATAATTCAGTTTATATCGAGTACTCCTAAGTAGTATTTGAAGTGTTGTTTGTCAAAGACACTGTTTTCTTAAAGTATTCTTTCTGTTTGTTATTCATCGTAGTTTTAATCTCAAGTGTTGAGTGCCATGCTCGTATCTTCAAATTATTTGGTAGCACTAGAAAAATAATCACTAATAGATAGTTGAAAACAGTTGGAACAGCACGTTCCAGATTACGAACAAGTTACGGACTCCAGAGGCAAAGACCAAACCCCTTCTCTTGGGGCCCCATTAGCCCCATTATTTAGTCTCAAACTTGCTATAATCATCACATCTACCATTATATACATAAACAAAATAATTACAGTCCCGATGATTACATAAAAGAGTTTTATAGAAATTATATTTTACCACAGATACTAAAAAGTTCTCAAGACTTCAGCTCTGTTTTCTTAAAAGACAATACGTGTATATAAATGTTGTTCATCATAAATCCAATCCAAATTTAAATTCACTAAGAAATAAATGTATTCAATTGTTTCGAACACTCAATATGATTCCATTAGTCTATATAGTCTATACATGTTTGTTTATTAATGAAATAATTCAATTCATTGCTTCACTTGCAATTGTAGCCTAAATGCCACAATTAGTTTTCGCATTTGTTTAATTGTTTTAAGCAATAAATGAATTGGATTTCCCTTAAACACTAATTACCAGTTACTTCCGCTTAAGTTGGCTGCGACTATAAGCTTGTGAGCATCGCATCGCTTTCAATTGCGCAACTCACTGCGTTTTGTTAAGCCAAAGTATTAACTTAATTTCGTTTTAAACTGTACATAAGACACACATACACACATACTACATGTGTTCACAAATGTATGTACACTCGCCATTAATTACAAAACGTTTCTCTGTTACACATTCGAGTTGCTTAGAGTTGGGGCTTCAACTGGTAACAAAGCAATTTGCTTACATCAACGCCAACAGCCAACAGCTAACAACCAACAGGTAACAACAACACGAGTAACAACAATAACAATAACCATAAGGAGTGTCGTGCAACAGGTAGCTTGGGCTGAGAGGCTTACAAAACATTTGGGTGGGCTACTGCCACGCCCAATAGGCCCAAAAGCCAGACTAAAAGCAACAGTGCCAGTAACTAACAACTACTTAACAGCAACCCATTAAGACGGAAAGGCAGTGAAATGGCTAGAAAAAAAGAAAACAGCTAACAGTTCTCCAGCTCGCAGCCATAACGCAAACGTGGTATATTTTTAAAAACAATGCCACATTCAATATAACATTGTTGTTGCTGCTGGTGGTCGCCATATGGTTTTACTTAAGTCCGAAACACATTTATAGACAGCTTGACGTTTGCCGCCACATGTGGGTCAAAACATAAGACGCGCGGAGACAGAGACACGAAGCTCCAACACCGCCGATGATGTTAATGATGATGAACTACTGAACTCCAGAGACTGAGACAGCGACTGAGACAATGCCTGAGAAGTCGTTTAGCGTTTAGCACGCTTGTTGACTTTTTAGCACAGCGGGTCAGTCAGACATGTGGAAAAGGGCGAGCATTTGGCCGAAAGCCGCTTAACAAAGTGTTGCGATGATTTCTATGATTTCACAGTTTTGCTTTTTATTTTCCATATTTCCGTCTTTTTTAGTGGGCGGCATGCGGGCGCTCCTCAAGTGACACCTGAGGCGTGCGTGAGCGCACGATATTACTGTCTACTTAGACGGAGCTAGGTGTGAGGAACGCCCACGTGGCGTATGCTTGATGGACAAGCATGCAGAGCATGCACGAATATTTAGCTGCCTGTTCCGTTTCTATTTCTATCTCAGTACTTCTCTAATGAGGTTAAAGAAATTGACTGCAAAGCAAGCAATTGCAAAACTTACAGTTGTGATTTATGAGTGCTTGCTTGTGTGATTGAGAAGAATGAGAATCAAAATTGAGGGCAAGCCGCAGACTTCAATAAAAATGAATTTAGAGAAAATCAGAAGAAAGATTTAAAGACTTTTCACTTAACAGCTCTTCAAAATGAAGAATGTGTATTTGAAAAATCGTACAAATATTAAAAGCTGTGTTTTGCAATTATTACTGAAAGCAATCGAGAGTTTTAAGAGAGAACGAATGATTGCAATTAATTTGAAATATCCATCAGTACCGGAGCCACCAAAAAACTAATATAATAAATATTTAAACGTATTCGTTTCAAGCAAAAAATATATTTTTTTATTTCATATTTTCCACGTTTCTATTGCTGAATGGATTTCTCTGCCTTAGTGTGTTCTAAATTGTAAGCTTACTTAGTCAATAAATATGAAATTGTTTTTCTTGTAAGCTGGCACTCACAAGCTTAAATACATACGCAGCTAACGAGTTACATTTTAATCAAAAGAAATGCATTCAACAGAAATTTACTGCAAATTGTGTGAATGGCCAATTTTATATTTGCTGTTGAAGCATTTATTTGTTGCCGATTTTTAGCCAAATTCGTTTGTTGAAAGAGCAGAAATTTATTTGCTCATCGCCTAGGTTAAGAGGTGAACCGAGTTCAATTGCAAAAGAGAGTGTGATTAAGATTAAGCTATGAATAATTAAATTGATTGCCGCCTCGTAAAAATGCTTTCATATCTAGATATTCAAGTATCTCGCAGAACGACTTGGGAAGGCTGTGCATTAATTTTGGCAGCTAAAATAAAATGCTCGTTATACAATAAATTAAAATGTTGATCGTCGCCTTCGCATACTTGTGCGCACATCATAAAAATAAAATTATTTTCATTATTTTTCGCGCTTTTAATTTTTACCCAACTGAGCTCCAAATGACGCAATCAAGAAACTTGAACATCTATTCAAATACTATATGTGTATGTTCTTTGTTCATTTCTATATACTAGACTAGACACTCGAGGCACTAGAAAGAATGCCGCCAAAACACTACTATATTGTTAACAATTCAAGTTATTTACACTTTGTTTACATATTTTATTTGTTATTTCACACGAAGAATCCCGAGAGTTTCGTTTGTTTTTATTGTGTTTTATGAGTCATTTGTTTATGTGTCTAGTGCGAGTATTTGTTTTTATAATAATAGTGCAGTTCATATAATAAATAATAATTACTGAGAACTGTTAGCACGCCCAAGGTGCAAAGAAATAATTGTCATACATATCGATTGTACGGCTGACTAAGCCTGTCTTAATTGTTATTGTCGGATGCATAGTAAGTATTTGCATATTCAAAACATCACTTCGAGCGCCGATGATTCATTCGATTCGCATGCCCCCGGTGTCCCCGGAGCGACTCTAAATACGCAGCACTTTGGCAAAGCCTTGAGCCGCATTCTAAAAACAAACTGGCTAGAGAAAATCAATAAGTTAGCCATTTGACGTCGCTGCACTTTTCCTTACTGCCTCTGCCAGTAAATGGCCAGCTGACGTCATAGTGCTTGGCAGACTTTGCTTTTAGTGGGTCAATGTTTTATTTGCTTTCTGCGGATTTAATTGAATTTAAGTGATTTATCGACTAGGAATAGCGCATGTGCGTGTCCCGCGTTTCAAAATGTGGCTCCATACTATACTACAAGTATACTATAAGTATGTATATAGCCACAGATGAGATAGCAAATTGGATTGACGGAAAACAGACATAAATAGATAAAAATGTGTGTGAAGTGCGTAGAAAGCTGCTAATGGGGTGTAACTTTCCTGGGGGATGAAATTATTGGGAAATACGGAAATATGAGAAGCGTGCAGAGCGGATATGGCAAGGAAAATTGAACGAGATTTCGTAATAAGATATGAAAGCAAAACAAATTCCAAGTGGAGCGAAATATGATAGAATAATACAAGTATAAGAATATTACTCAATAGTTTACCCAT